TTAGGATTTTAAATTACATTTTTCCAATTTTTCTAATTTTTAGGGAATATTTGAAACTATTTGAAATTTTTCGGAAAATTATCCAACCCAACTAATTCAAATTATAGATAGCCTTTGTCAAATTAAAATTTATTTCGGTGAAGCCTCACTATCATTACCACTAATGATACGTGGAATTATCGTCGTATTATTTGGACTGTTTGTTAATTGCCATAAATTTATCAATATCATTATCATTCATGTCATCACATAAACGTTATGTCAATAAATTATATGTTCATTGTTTTTATTTACTCAACTACGCGATAAAATTGGGTTTGTTAACATCTGTTAGTGAAAAAGCTATTCTATTGATGAATCCGAATAACATTGTAATTTTTCTTCTGGGAGTCAATGGAAGTTTAATTTATTATGATTTAACAGTTCTTAGGTACGTCTAGGTATTTATTGTAATACTATTCTTTTCTTCTTTACTATAAATACGTATAACTTGCTTAGTTATAATTCATACTTTGCGAATACTATCTTTAAATAGCATTGTTGTTAAATTTAAATAAATTTTGAAATCCAGACAGTGACAATTTACTTGCATGTGATGGTTAGCTGATGTTGATTCATTAATCAACGGTCTCTTTGTTTGTTTTCACGTTTGTAATGAATAGGTGTTTGTTTTTTTTTTTATTTTAGTAATAATGTTGATAATTAATGTTGTTGATTTGTTCTGTTTGTTTTTTGTTACGAATTCTCTGAATATTAGTTTCCCTATTTGGTAAGAAGTCGATGTCTTTGGGGTTTAAAATTCAACGTTAAAAACGATATTTAATACAGTAAAACAGTAATGCGCCTTGTGAAAGAGCTCGTCTAAGGAAGTACTGCCAGTGTCAGATCTTTGCGACTTAAAGCTCTGAGTGGCACTGCAACTGCTATGGACAGGCGCGTAGCTTACCATCAGGCATGTAGCTTACGACTTGTTCGTCCCGTCACTTGATTTTATAAAAAAAAAACATTAATACTTAGTAGTTAAGCACACGTGCACACTTTTAATTTAAACACACTCGTGTACTTATTTCAATATTTCTCAGAAACACGGAGACGAGAAATCTTTTAATAGGCATGTGAAGAAACCCAGTCCGTGTTGTGCCACCGGCACCTTGGTGGTCTACGACCTGTCTTTAAAGGATACACTAAATAAAAAAAAAATTTAAAATATCACATGTTGCCCTGATCCCAAAGCAAGCAACTAAAGCACTTGTGTTATAGAAATCGGAAATAAAGACGATACCTCAGACTACCAGACCCGAGACAATACAGACAAGTTAGTTTCTACATTAGCCTGGCCTGGGATCGAAACCAGAACCTCAGAGATGGCGACACCAGGAAAACCTTAGAGGATGGAAAAAAAAAGAAGTGCAAACCAGTCGACCACGCCACGGAGGTAGTCATACCCGTACCGTCACCCGTGCTACACATATTGTCATATCATTGTCAATCGCATTAGTTTTTTTTTATTTTTTTGACTGGACTCTGGACCATTGTATTCTAGAGTCATGTATAGAGTCCTTGCTTTGTTTTTATGATGTTCTTACAGTGTTATGTCATGCAATCTCATGGACAATGAGTTTGGATCGCTAACAAAATTTTAAAGAAATACTTAAAACCTCCATCCAATTAAGACCCAGTACATTATGGACAAAGCACTAAACACTCATTGGACATTAAAATGTACCAAATATATAATTACATGCTTCAGGCCCAACCTTCAGTTTTGTGTCTATTACGTTTTCACGCAAACCGCTGAACCAATATCGATGAATACAAAAATCGAATACACAGAAAAATGTCGTCGACCACGTCTATATTGCAACGTAGCAGTGCTCTAGCCATCTTTGTGTTCATAATTATAACAACACTAGTGGAGTTATTTCATAAAAAATCTCATTATTGATGAATTTTGGTATAGAAATAAACGGTACCTAGAAGGAAGACTGGAGGTTACTTTTTGTCACAACGATAATTTTAAAGGGAGTGAAATAAAGGATGAAAGTTCATATGGAGAACTAATAAAACTATGAGAATTAGTACAATAGGCTACTCGAAGTACGTACGAAGACACGAGCACCAATCAGTACAAATACACACATCAAAGGCGTCTTGATCAAGTACGTTTTTGCTATTTACTGAAAATCAAGTTTTTTAATAGTGTTTATTACAAGTAATGGTTTTTTTTTGGTCAATTTCATTTTCAAATTATAAAATAGAAAAAAAAATCCATCGGCGTTAAAAAATAACTAAAAACCTGATTTTAATTAATTGGCAAAAACGTGCTTGATCCCTAGACATTTTTGATGTGTGTATATAGCGCTAAATTTGAATGCGACATTTTCATTATAATACACATTGGGCGTTTACGTGATCGTTAGAATAACATTGTCTGGGTCTGAATCACTTCATATGTGTACATTTTGATGTACACTGGGCCTTAATAGGATAAAATTAAACTTAAAAAAATAATCTATGGAGAATATCATAAAACACAATAAAAATCATTACACCTGAATACAACTGTTTAACTGACTATGAAAAACAATTCGAGAAATCATTGTCTGACTAAACCGAGCTATGACCCTGATATTAATTAAAGAATGGATTTTTTGCTCTAAGAAATTCTTCTTGTGGGTTAAATTTGTTTTTAAAGTGGTTACGTAACTAAAATTCCTAAATAATACTTAAACCTTGCAAAGAAGCTTAATGTACGCCACGTTAAAGCCTCCAGTTACCAGGAAGCTGACAGCTACTTCTGCTAAAGTATAAGTTTAAACATCCAAAGTGAAAACTTTTCGAGCCCCCTGGGCCAGGAAGCCATACGTCAGCATTCCATGGCATTTTCTCCCTCGTTGAATGAAAGGTAGATTTCTTTATCGTCATTTATATTAATCGTACTTACACTTTTACCTTTATGTAATGCCAAATATATGTGTATCAAAATTTTTAAATTATGTGAATTGGTCCTTCTGTCCGTATTTTTTCCCATGAGGACATTTAACAGAAACAACAAATTCTTGCACGGCAATAGACGGCTGTGTTATGCACGGAGGCAATAAATTTAAAGGAAATGTACCAGGATAACATAAAATGAAATGTCCAAATTAATTTGTAACCTAAACGATGACTTTTAATACATTTTCTCCTATAATACATTTGTTTGTATAAAACAACGTATCTTGTGGTATACAACGTTCCGCTCCAGTTCGACCTTACGTCCTTACGTTAAAGCTTATAATAATATCAAAAAATTACGTATTTTAATAATAGAGATCGTGGTATGGGAGAAGCACCGACAAATAAAAAATAATAGATACAATACGGTATCAATTTTGATGACATGGTTGATGTTTAGATACCGTTCCCCTACAGGAGACCTGTGCTTAAAATAGGCACATATTTGTCAATATATAACAGGCGAAAAAACAGTACGTGCCATGCACTGAAATACACAATTTGTCAAAATTGATATGTGGTGATTGAACTGATGTTCTAGTAGTACTCTAGTATCCGGCAAATATAGAACTTCCTTTTGCAAAACTCTACATTGAAACTTTTATTATAGACCCTGGCATTAACATGTCTGCGCTGATAAAAGGGTACCTAGGTAATACGGCCCGTCATTTTGAAAGTAATAATATTTAATCCTCGTAGACATAAAACAATATCCAAATGGACTACGTATTCTTTTCCATGTACAAAAATGTACGTTGTGGAAATAACATTACAGGTGTCTAATGGAATTTGTTCTGGGAAACCCAAGTTTAGTATATGGATGTCAAGTGCCAGTATTTTATACTTGGGATGCTGTAGCAAGAAGCAATATTGACTTTTGATATCAATGTTCGTGTGGTCAGATCACGTTAGTTTTTAAAACTATAGAAGATGGCGACAGTAGAATTTGTCAAACTATAACACGTAAAATCGAAGTTAACTACATTTTTATTTACGCACAAATTCAACAGTGCAATGTGCAAATGGTTGCACTGCAAAAAATAGATGAAAACTACGTTGTACATATCTCAAAAGAACATTTAGAAAAAATACAAATTATGTTAGTAAATTTCTGCCAAGCGAAATGTTTTTGTTGTGCCATGTCTAAGTCCACCAATGGTTAGAAGTGTTATATTATAGGTATAACATACTGGCCAATATGTTCACTCTAGTACTGAAATACAATATTATTAGTAAAGAAATTGTAAGCACATGTTGATTCTAAACCTAATGTATATGTTTTCAGCGTGTTTCGCACATCATCAAAACTCAAACTATCTTTATTTCACAGATAACTTATACATGTAACTCTGGCATTCGTTTGGCAAGTAGAAGATACTAAAGAACATTATAATTGGCGTAAATCAGATGGTTTAAAGCGCTTAATGTACGCTTCCATTTATTTTCCAAACCAACCTGTGCAGACATGTTTTGCTTTGGTTCCAAGACATAAGTTATATTGAAATATAGGTGAAACTATGCCGTAATAATCGAAATTATCTATTTGAATGTATTATCGACGAAGAATTTTGACACATTGTATGTCTTATATAGAGACACGAATCCACCATACAGTGCCACCATCTTTCTCTGATATTACAAAAAACAAGCTAATTGTTACTAGGTTGATAAAATATCCAATGTTTTTAGCAGCACTGCATTGTAATGATGCCACCCACGCCACAGCGAAGTTGGTGGCTCTGTTTACAAAGGCACAGATAAGACATATTCCTAAGTTTTAATGCTCCAATTACAAAGTTGGTAAACCGGAACAGTTCATACTTTTTCTATAAAATGTACCTACGTATTCTACAGGCGGAAATAGAAGTATCAAGAAAGGCACAGACAAATATAGAGACGTGAATTCACCATAAATAATTCTCAATTCTCAAAATGTTATAAAATGGAGAGAAACTAATGTATATGGAAGTTCAATTTATTGTCTGTTATTCTGGAAAATTCTCGGTTTTAAAACTGATTTTATTTCAGAAGCAGAATGGCAAATTGATCAGAGAGCCTGTTATCATTAAGACTACAATCCTACAGCACTATTTTAATGACAAATTTCAGTAGCTCTGAAGTAGCTCGAGTTTTACGGAAGTGGACGATTGTATTGTAAACATATTTCGTTATAATGTAATCATGTGACATATTAATCAGTTCGCCACTACAATTTAAAGTTCACTGTAATAGTTTATAAGGTCAATATTCGGTTAAGGTCACTTTATGAATTATATTCTATGTTGATCTTGAAAACATGTACTGGACATACACTTCGGTATCACAACATAATATTTACATTGTAAGTGACGCTTTCCCCAATTTCAGAGTTGCTCTATAATAATTTAATTCGGCTGTTCCCGTAAAACTAGAAAGTCTCCGAAGCTTGCACTTAGAAAATAGAACTGCAGATAACCGTGTACGTATTGGTGTTGTTTTTATGAGTTGATAATTTCACTTGTTTGCTTGTATGGAAAAATTACAAAATATACACGTTTATAATAATCATTTAGATAGCAAGACTAACCCCAAACCCAGTATTATCTTTAAAATATACGCCGGAATATGTTATATTAATATAAATGAGCACCTACGTCACAATGTTTATCATGATACTTGCGCTTGCGTCACTTATTTTAACATTCGTAGATTGTTTCGTCCGATACTACGCTTCTTCCTTTGTGCGATTCTTTTACAATCCTTTGTTTATTGACAAATTGAATCTTCTTTACTAAGACACAAACTTAAAGTTTAACAATTAACAAGAGGTTGGTAATTAACTTTGTAAAAAAAACTTCTATTTGAAATATCTAATTCAGTCATTTCCGTGTTGTTTCTCAATTTATATTTGTTGTTAACTTCAGTTAAGCGAAGGTCTTAAGGTTACAAATCAACGGGTCTCCCAAAATTGTACCACAAAATAATTAAAAAAAACCTAATAACAAATTGGATAAACCAACTTGACGCCGAAGGTCGAACTGAAAACATTAATAATTTGAAGAATGGCTAAACGTCTAACTAATGGAGCAATTGTATTGGAAAACTAGACCTTTTTGCTTTAGTACAGCATAAAAAAAAGACAACAGTCTCAAAAACTTAGCAAACATTCGTTCAATGACAAACATAAACAGAAAATGTAAAGGAAAAACATGTACAAACCCCAAAAAGGTCCAGCTCAACATTGCGACTAGGCATTGGGGCAACTTTCCTCACAAACTCAACCGAAAGTACGAGAAAATACATAAACACACAGAAATTGTATGCAACAAACGATAAATGCAACAGTAACAGAACAGCAGTGGTCTAAAACAGAACTCAAAAAAAAGAAAGCTACCCCGTTTCCTAACAATATAATTCGATAATATCTTAAAATTGGTTAATTCATTTATTCACTGTCCAGAGCATACAACCTTGGCGGCTCCTTCACTTCAACATGACGTCACTGCACAGCACTCGCGTCGCGACACGGGTACGCACTAGTGTGTGTGTGGTCACCGCACATGCCACAGCCCGAGGTTGAGCACACTGAGTCGCGGTAGCTTCACAATGTGGTCCAAACCCTGCGGCGTGATGCAGGTGCAGCCGTATAGGTCTATTGCCTTTAGATTCTGAAGCCCCTCGCCGAGCGCACGTAGCCCTCTATCCGTCACCCTGATGCACTGCCCAATATTGAGCGTTTCGAGCTGTGATAATCGCGCGACCCTTTCCAAACCTTCGTCGGTGAGACTACAAGCGCTCAGCGATAACGACCTCAGCCCCGATAGCCCCAGCGTGGCATGCGATAACGCCTCGTCACCCACTTTAACGCAAAAAGAAACGTCCAGCGCCCGCAAACGTCCGCTCTCCGCCAAAAACGCTACACCAGCGTCCGACACTCCCTCGCATGAGCGTAGATTAACATCTTCTAAATGTGGAAGCCGAGACAGATGTCTCAATCCCGCGTCCGTCACGGCCACGCAGAAGGAAAGATTTATGGATTTCAGATTGGGAAGCCCCGTGGCGGCGTGCTTCAACGCCTCGTCCGTCAACCTTTGGCAGTCTTGTAGTCCCAGGTACTCCAGCTCGGGTGTCCCACGTGCCTCTCCACCACCGCACAGGTGCGCGATGCCGGCGTCGTTGACGTGCCAGCACGACCGCAGATTCAGCCTGCGAAGCTTTTTGAGCCCCCAAGCGATTAGCAACAGTCCCGTGTCTGTTACGTTGCAGCACCCACCTAGCTCCAACTCCTCCAAGTTCTTGAGCGATTGCGCTATCCTCCCGAGCGAAGAATCTGTCACTTGTTTACACAGAGATAAGTCTAATCTTCTTAAAGCTGGTAATTCTGCCGCGAATGCGCTTGCAAGCGCCGCGTCTGTTACACTATAACATCCACTAAGTGATAACGACTCTAGTCCTGGCAATGAAGACACTGCATCTCTCAAACCTCTCCTAAGTGATAGAACCTGTAATTTCCGCACTCCTCTCCTTGCCAGAGACTGGAACAGAACAGGTGCTGGCCTCCTTAAATGTAACGCTGCCTCTACTCCACGCCAGACAGATCTACGATCAGCTGCATCGCGCCAAGCGCGGCAAACTTGGGCCGCGCGGCCTCGGTCTCGCACCGGCAGTCTCTCGAATATGAGCGCTAGTATTTCCGGGTAGAGCCTCGAGATGTGCGTTCCCTGAGGCTCCGGCGGGGGCTCCGGCACGTGAGCCGCGGGCAGATGCGGCCGATGTAGCCTGTAGGGCGCGCTGCGTTGTTTTCTTCTCGTTGTGCTGGGCAGCTCGGTGAGGCCGAGGCGATCATCGCGCCAAGATAGCACTTCTTCCGTCCATGCGCTCATGGCGATGGCTAGCGGCACTGCACTATAACATGACACCGCACATCGGACCGGTTTTCGGTGAAAATCGTGTTGCGGACGCGCGCGACGTACGTCCGTCCACACCGCTGATCCTCGTGCACTGCGGACGGGACAGACGCGCGGGCCAAGGAGGGTCCCCTCTCCGTCCGCCCCCCGCCCTGTGGCCACGGCGTGCGGCGATTGGTCGCGCTCGCCGGCACGTGACGCGCGCCGTATCGATTCGGAGGCTCTGCGGCGGCATTTTTAAGTTGGCGGACCGAGAGCCCGCCTTCGCCCCGCGCGGCCGCTGACGCTCCCGACACAGAATACGCGCCGTGTAGAGCCAGGAGTAGGCAATAACAAATTAATAACGCATTTTACTAGCCGTTGAAATATGACTTAAAATCTCTTTGCGGTTACCTACCTAACAAACTTCCAATTTAGATTTTTTCTTGTCAAATTGCTTACAATAATTGCCAATGTAGAGCAATGCTTAATCAAACTTAGTGAAGTTAAAACCTGAAGTTAAAACCCGACACTCCTGTTGAAACGACTAACCGTAGCTGCTCTATCACTAAAATTAACAAAACTCTTAGAAGTATAAAAATATTAGGCATATTAAATATGCATGACACACGTTCCCTACTCTTTGGTCGAAGTGATAAGGCGGCGAGCGACTCGGAGCGCCGTATATTTTCGTTCGCGCTGCACTTGCCGACGACTAACGACCACTTTACTAAGAACCTTCTTACTTACTAAAACGACTCTTAATGCTTTTCAACAGCGCCTATCGTAAAGATTATATCAAAGTGGTCTCTTGATAACACCAGCCAACTATTACAAGGGCGACCGGTCGCGGCTTCGAACTGTTCCAAATATGAAATTCGAATTCAAACGTGTTCCAAAACGAGAATGGAACGCGAGCCGTTTAGGAATTAAAGAGTCGCTCGTTAAAATTGTAATGATGCAAAAACATTTTAGCTTCAGCGAGTTTAATAACGTGTTTTTACATTTACAGCTATACTAAACATACTTGTAGGCTTTTGTTCCTGCGTTTTGTTCTTATTTCACACTGTAAACTACCAAGAAAACTACCACAAAAACCGGACACATAATAATTATTCTTGTCTTCTGTTTAAACTGACATCTGGTACTACGAATCTTATAACGACCATTCCTAAAAACACACGCCTGTAGTGTTAATTTATAAACAACATAACAAAGTGTAGTAAACTTAGATGACTCAATACAGCACTGTACATTTCAACAACTAAGCCATAAACTAGAAGTAGATTATGTGACAGCTGTGTTTAAATAAAATGACAATGACATTTTATATTTATATGTATATTTTAGGCATATTTATGCATTAATGAAGGTTTTTTTATTGGCCCCGGAATGTGAGATAGCAAATAACGAAATTAAAACGAATAATTTAAATAACGAATCAAAATTCGAATTCAAAATAGGAAAGCTGGAAGTTAATTTATTAACGCTAAGTACTTCTTTCGTCTTGTCGTTCGTAATGCAGATTCTCCATTAGAAGAATAAGCAGGAAACTCTAGAGATCGCTGCTTTTATGCAATAACGCAGTATTGCAGAATACTACGATTTTGAACTAGGCATACAGCGAGGAGCAGATTTTTTTTACGTAAGAACGGGATGTTATTTATATATTATATGTTAGTTATAATACTGTTTCGCATGTTCTGTTCGTCTCTGTGTGCTTAGTTCAAAATGACCACGATTTTGAAGCAGAAGCAGAATACTATCTGCAATACTGCGTTATTATAAAGGCTGCGATTTATTCACATTTATTATTTGCAGTATTTTAGGTAGATCATCTGAAAGAAATGGAAGATGAGCACGATGATCCCATTTATCATCTGAGTAAACAGAAGCTGTATACTTTTGTATATTTTTTTGTTCCTTGATTGTTTTTTAAACCTCGGAAGTGGCAAATTTTGTATATCAACAATCTTATTATTGTTATAAATGGTAATTCGGAGAAACCGTTTATAAAGTAAGCCGAGGTTTCTTGTATCTACTTCAGAATGGTACAGAAATTACAATTGTACAGTGGAAGTATTTTTTGCACGGTGGGCCACACTTACAAATATGATTTGTATATAATGCAGACAGTGTGTATCTTTGTGTGCTTGCATTAAGTACCTACGCCCTATAAATAATATTTATTCAAAATTAATCAAACAGTCTAAACTACAGGCACAAAGTTATAAAACACAAAACTTGATAAATTCCCTTCTCTAGGCGCACCGTCAACGCTCTACCTTTTTTCTTGTTTTCACAAGACGTCAGACAGGCAAAGGCATCGCGTTTTTTGTGCCGCTTTTTTCCTTCCTACCTGAGAGAGAACCTGCGGCCATATGGTACCGACAAACTTAAATTTACCGTCGGCAAAATATAGACGCTACAAATCTTCTTATAAATTCTATGCCTCGATCTACCCCGCAGCCATTCGTCTTGCCTATCTTATAGTAGGTGAGTATCTGAAAAACTAATTTTGTAAATAAGTACACTCCGTGGTAGATACACAACTCTAAAATAAATACAAACAAAACTTCTGCTTCGACCGAGATCATGCTAGGAACGTCATCCTGTTTGGTTTGCTACAGGAAAATAGAGATCATCTTTTAGTTGAATGGGTATTACGTAGCTGCCTATGCAAATATTATACTTAGATAATGAAAGTATGACCAATTTTCGACGCCACTGAATAACAAAACACGGACATAATGCTTTTTGCCTTATCTTACAAGGTTAAACTTAAACAGAATGGTCTAGTGTCGGGTAAAAGAAGTTAATTTGGTAAACTTGAAAGAACTTGCTCTCAATGTATTTCGTAAATTAACTCCATCGTGTATCAAGTAGTATGTATAATCAAACCTATTTAGCGCTATCTTGCGTGTAGTAGCAATACTAGAAAGACTGCTTCCATTATGAAATTCTTAGCATATTAAGAAGTTCCACATAAATTGTGTAGATGGCGCTATATTAGAACCTAAAAGCAATAATAGATGGCGTTGATAATTTTAGTTTTATTAAAAGCCGCCAGATGACCTATTCAAAGCAACTCACTTGGGTCTTACAATATAAATGCAATAAAACAATAATAATATGCACCGTAATGCAGTCAGTACAGCAAAGCAAATACACACAATAGAAAACGATTAGAAGTGGACAGCAAATACTTATTATGAGTGAGTCGTCATCGTCAATAGACACTAGAAACTTATTGTCGAATGTAAACATTCGTTCCGTTCGAAATAATTGAGTTCGTTTAATAGTCGAAAATACGTAATCTTATCTGCCGATCATCGTCCCCTAATGTGTGTCTGTGACACAAACATACGAGAAACGATTTATAATATAATAATCATACCCTGGTTTGTTAATTCTGAATAGAGTAAGCTTAGATGTTGTTACAATGTTTTTAGGCTACGTTCCGGGCTTTAAAAAAGCGAATTCACCAAATTGTGAACTTTGTAATAAAATTAAAAACAACCAACACTAGTTGGCAGAATGTCCAAGAAGGAACTGCAGCGACAACAGCAACTGATGTTTATATTAAAATTGAACCGTTCCAACAGTACCTACTTTCAAGATATTCTTTGTGAACTCTTGTTAAAATATACGAAATGTTGTGTGATATGATAAATTAGCGTTAGTTAAATTACTTTTAATGTAATAATAGTAATAATAAAAAAATCACTATAAATTGCACGTTTTTCTA